AAAACCAAAACCAAAAACAAAAAAACAAAAAACAAACAAAAAAAAAAAACGAAGATGTGTATTTATTGACACACACTGTCCAGGCAGTTCTGTCTTCTGACCTCTATCTAACTGGAAAGATTTGGAAGCCCTGCTGAAGCCCAGATGCCAGCACTCGGCTAAAGCATTTCGGCCTCTAGAATTGTAGGCCAGAATGAACTCCTTTCCTGCTTTGGTTTGGCACGTATTCCTGTAAGTAGCCTTGTGTGATCGCTCATCTCAACCATCAACTGGACAAGATGGAAAGTGACCCAGGAGACATCTCTGGTTGTTTCTACGTGAGAGCTTCCAGAGAGAAGGAGAGATCCACCTTGAATGTCCACCCCATCGTATGCCTGGGATCCTGAAAACCAGAAAGCAAGCTGAGCACCAGCACTTGCCTCTCTCTGCTTCCTGACAACAGACTCGATGTGACTGTCACCTCACGCTCCTGCCACCATGCCTCCTGTCACGACGGGCTGCACCCCTCTTAAGCTGTGAGCCAAAACAGACCCTCTCTTCCCTTAGTCGCTTTTGTCAAGAATTTTGTCACTGCAGTAAGAAAAGGTAACCAGTACATCCCCTTTCCCATGCTCCGGTCGGGAACCCCAATAAATTCATTGACTTACCAATTAGATAGAATCATTCTTTTGGCCTACTGGTGCCCCATCTGGGATGAACTGATTTCTTAAATGTCTCCCCATGAAAAGTCATCCAATACAATGAACATAGGAACTAGGCTGGAGCCAAGGCTTAGAGAACCACAATTTGGTTCCTAGTGTCAATGCAGGTGACTCACAACTGTCATAACTCCAGCTCCAGGAAATCCAATTGTTCTGGCTGCATGCACAGACCCCCACACAAAGAGGTATACACAAACACATATGCACAAAGTCATAAAATTAAAAAAAAAGAAAACAACAATGATAAATTGTATTTAGTCTATTACCACCCTTAAAGAAAGGAAAAGTACCGGCTCAGGACCTCCAAGACCAAGTTCTCAGCACAAAGGAGATTTATTTGCCCCAGAGGGACAGAGGTTAGGGAATAAGAGACAAAGTCAGGAGACAGAGGACCAGGGAGAAGGGAAAGGGAACCAGGGAAAGAGGGCAGGTTATTTGTCCTAGAGGACCAAGGACTGCTTCTGGATAGAGGGGAGACAGATATGGCACACAGGAAAATGGCAGTTTATACAGGTTCAAGGGAAACCCGTGTTAGGATGTGTTTTTTAATTTTAATTGGGCATGTTAATTAGGTGAGCCAAAGGGGGCTTTTGATGGTTGGACTTCAATACTTTGATAGTTGGACCTTAGTAGTCAGCCTCAGGAGGAGGAAGTGGCCCATAAGGGAATGGGCCTTGGGGGCTAGCTTCAGGAATGCGGTCTAAGGGTTTTTATCAAGGCAGAGGTAATGGGGGAGAAGGGCGAGGCCGGCCAGAGGCACATGCTCCAGTGGGCTAGTGTCTCTTCAGATGCCACTTTCTGTCCAGTGGACAGATGACAGGGAGCTATGAAGGACGGTTATTAGAGTTGAGAGAATGAGAGATGTCTTCTCTTCACTATGCAGTCCTGTGTTCCATCCTCTTCTAAGACCCAGCATCTTCACTGTGCCCTGACTCCTCAGCTTTACCCTGTACATTCAGGACGATCTACTGCATGCTGCAGCTGGTCTTTTCACAGCAGCTAGTTTCATCAACAAACAAAGGCTTGTTATTTGTATCACAGAAGAAACTGACTTCTATGTTTTACCTTTTGAATAATGAAAGTATAGTAAAGGGTTGGGGATTTAGCTCAGTGGTAGAGCGCTTGCCTAGCAAGCGTAAGGTCCTGGGTTTGGTCCTCAGCTGGGGGCGGGGGAAGTATAGTAAAAACAAACAAACAACCCCCCCCCCCCAAGTAACTAAGTAAGTACTAAAACTCAGAAACCCTTCCTTTGAGACAGCCTATGTTGCTCAGGCTGGCCTCACATTCCTGATTCTCTGGCATCAGTTTCCAGAGTGCTGGTATTCCAGACACGGGCTACCATGTCCAGCTTTAGAAATACCTTTTGGTGGGGGTTGCATGCGTACGTGTGTATGCTTATGTGTATGCATGTGTGATGTACGTGTGCTCTTGTGTGTGTGCGCATCCACGCACTTGTGTGCGTGTGCATGCAGAGGTCAGAGAATGACTTCAGGTCTCTCTCTTGATTGCTCTCCATCTTATATACTGAAGCAAGGTCTTTCATTTGAGCCCAGACTGTCAATTCAGACGGTCTAGGTAGCCAACTGGCCCCAGGGATTCCCTGTATCTTCTGTGGGCTGCCATGGCTGTTAGCATAAGAGTGCTGGAATCTACACTCTGGGAGGCATCTCACCAACCCAAAACCTTCTTAAAGAAGTTAACAGCCACACATACAGATAGTCCACGTGGTATTTTTACTCACTGAAATATCCTTTATAACTGGTAATAACGACGAAGAGCACATTTCACTTCTTGCATCCATTTTCTAGAACAGACATTTTCTTTGCTACGTTAGGCACCCACCCACAGCAGCTGAGTCTACTCACTCTTGAGTGGCTCCCTCTCCAAGTTCGAGTCCTCGGGCGCATCAAAACGACCGACTGGCAACTTGGACTTCTTAAGAGGTTGCTTCCCAAGTTCAGATTTTCCTTCTCTGTAACTCACCTTCCTCAAAGAATGATTCAGAAGGGAGAATCCTAATGAAGAAAGAAAATATTTTACTTTAAAAAAATTGACTATTTTGCCTACTTGTGTTTTTGATCATTTACCATAATTCCAAAGGGACAAATGGCATCCAGTGAAAATCCTTTCCTGAATGCCTACATTCTACACAGCTATTTCCCTTCCTTAGAGATAACCAGTGCTACAAGTTTGCAAAGAGCTATCAAGTAAGGAGGCGGGCAAATACAGGGAATAGTTTCGTAACCTCGGACTCCGTCTGGTTTGGAATATGCACACGTTCCTCTTCTAATAATGCACTTGGCAGCCTAATTTCCATACCTGTACACACTAAGCACACAAACCTTTCTCCAAGAGATGCACCTAGCAACATAACCCCCACCCCCCAGCACCAACAGCACCAGGATGCATGCACGTACATCCCTCACTGAAGCGTGGGATCTTCCTCCTTTCTCAACAGGAAAGTTACACAAATTCTATTTAGTTGTACTCTCCTCATGTTCCAATACAGGACCAGAAAGGCCCATCGGTCCTACACTGGGTGTGGGTGCTTACCCAGTAAGGTAAAACTGTGCCCTAAAAGTGATTTAAAAGGAAAATCTTCTATTTACCATCTTATGTCTAGTTTGGCAAGCATGATTGAAGTGAGATGCATCATAAGAAGGAACATATACAGAAAATGATTGTGCTACCTAGTATAGTATATCAATTTAAGTGAGAACCACCCCAACTCCTTAGTAACCAGCCCCCTCTTCCCTGTACACCCCATTAAAGAGACCCTAGGCAACACACTCTGGCCCTTCTTCATTGTGGCTTGTGTTGTTGGAGGTTTTTCTTCTTTTTGCTCTTTTGGGGGTCCTGCCACTCAGCTCCCAAATAAATTTACACACAGAGGCTTATTATTAATTATGAATGCCTTGCCTTAGCTTGGCTTGGTTTCTAGCCAGCTTTTCTTAACTTATCCCAACTACCTTTTGCCTCTAGGCTTTTTCTTTTCTATTCCTGTATATCTTTTTTTTTTATTTCTTAATCCATGGCTGGCTGTGTAGCTGGGTGGCTGGCCCCTGGAGTCCCCCTCCTTCTCTGGCTGCTAGACCTATCCCTGCTCCCGGATTTCTCCCTCTATATATTCTCTCTGCCTGCCAGTCCCACCTATCCTTTCTCCTGACTTGCTATTGGCCAGTTCTTTATTAGCCCATCAGGTGTTTTAGACAGGCTCAGTAACACAGCTTCACAGAGTTAAACAAATGCAACATAAACAAAAGTAACACACCTTAAAATAATACTCTACTAGCTGGCCTGTTGCTCTCTTGCAGTATAAGAATTCAAACAAAGTTTTGTTGCTATTCTGCAATCTGTGTGGGCTTTAATTTCAATTCCTTGGATAAGGAAGCAGTTGGCTTGCCCCAACCCTGACGGGAAAATCAATACAACAGCATCCTTTAGGAACTTACATCTTGTGCTGGGGTACGGGGAACACAAAACAGAAGGTGTAGCACTCTATGCTAGTGTTTCTAGTACTGCCCAAGTATCCATAAGGAGAATGGAAAATGTATCATACACAGGTAAAAGATACCACCTCACATTTCTGTATGGAGTGATCTTGAAATATGAGTAGTTGGAAAAAAAAAGCAATGACTGCAAACTGCATCGAACCATTTCCATGGGAAAATGGGTTCATTGATGTTCCTTTTGCTTTATACTTTATACATGGGTCAAGTGTGTCTATACATAATTTCTGGTATCAAACATAGCATAATTGTTCAAAAACAGCAGAATGCTGGATAAACACTAAAGTTATCACCTAAGGGTTTGGAGCGAGCCTTTCATTTTCTATAATATTTATTGTATAGCTCATTTGAGATTTGAACAACCAACAGGTATCAAGTATTTGAAGGGAAAAACTAGAAAGTTTAATAAAAAAAAAAATGGGGCCCTTTGTTAAGAAAGCAGTAATTCTGTCTTCAGTTTACATAACATCTCAGGGATGTCATCAATTAAACTTACATTCTGCACTCTCTTTGGGATGCTAATTGAGGAATATATTGAGAAATAATGAAACAGTTTTGAAAAACGCTAGTTTCTACAGAAAGCACGCAGGCATCTCTTCTGACAGTTCTTGGCTTCGTGTACTTTTCGTTGTATGTACTCATTTATCTGACTTTCGCTTAGAGAACATTTAGATCAGGCTGACCTTGAACTCAAAAGATCCTCCTGCCTCTGTATGCCTAGTGCTGGACTAAAAAAGCATGCACCCTCTGCCGGGTACAAATTATTCTTGATGTAAGCAAGCAAGTAAATGAATGACACTCATCCCCGAAGTGTCCTTCTTCTCCATACGTTCCCAGCGGCATCTAAGTGCCAGCCGCTCCTCGCAAACCACCCGCAAACTCCGCGCCCCTCCTCCAAGCACACCCAAAGGCTCGGAACCCCGCGATCCTAGTGCACCGCGGTCGGGTCTCCGCACCGGTGTCTTCCCCTATCAGAAGCCGGCTTCCCCCGCGGATTTCCGAGTCTCAGGACCCCGGGCGGATCGTCTTACTTGTTGCTCTCCAGAGGGAGGCCACCAAAGACCCCGAAAGGACCGTGGAGCTCATACTGCCGCCTCCCGCAGCGTCTGCGCACGCGCAGCCAAGTGGGCGGGGCTACCGCCAACCCCACCGGGAACCCGCGCGGTCTGCGCAGGCGTCAGCGAAAGCAGAGTTGGGCGGAGCTTCGCTGTGTCGGGCCCACTGACCCGCCGGTTCGCGGTGCCTCCTGTAATTGGGCATAGTTGCACCCCTAACCTTTAACCCTCGGAGTCCCTGGCGATCGCTCCTAGCTATTCCGATGGACTTAAGGACAAAACTGAAAGCCTGCACGGAAGTAACAAGTTCTAGAAGAGGGAAATTCCAAGTCCAACAAGGAGATGGAAACATGAATCACCCTAATCTGATCATTACGTTTTTAGACATGTATTAATATTGAATCACTAGATACTAGGGTTTTTTGTTGTTGGTTGGTTGGTTGGTTTTTCGAGACAGGGTTTCTCTGTGTAGTTTTGGTGCCTGTCCTGGATCTCGCTCTGTAGACCAGGCTGGCCTCAATCTCACAGAGATCCGCCTGCCTCTGCCTCCCGAGGTGAGTGCCACCGCCGCCCGGCTGATACTAGTGATTTTTAAAAGTTTCATCATCACATGCCACATAGGTGCGCCAAAATATTACTCCATAAATCTGTAGTTAAAAAATACCAAACACAAACATTTAATTACATTGAATGTTCCCATATTTTGAAAATAAAATTTTAGTAAGTTCAGAATAACCAGTCATGCGAATTGATTATTGAGACTGTTTCATGTCAGGGATCTTTTTAAGAAATTTAAAAAATACTGAGGGACTAGAGAGATGGCTTCTCTTTCAGAGGACCTGGGTTCTAGTCCTAGCACCCACAGGGCAACTCACAAGTTTGTAACTCCAGTTCCAGAGTGTCTGACAGACTCTTCTGGACTTTGTTGGCAGTGGGCATGCACACGACATGCATACATATATACATATATACATACATGTCAGCAAAACACTCACACATACAAAAAATCTTTTTAAAAATAATTGAGGTAAAAAACCTTTATACATGAAAAATAATGCAAAGTGTCCCCCTCCCCCACTCCATTATTAGAAAACAAACCAAATTCATGGCTGGTTAGATGAGTTACTGCATTAAACTCTGTCTTGGAGTCAAAAGCATTGCCTCCAAGAAGAGCTTACCACAGCAACTTTCTCTTCCCCCAGCTGTGTTTGCTCAGTGGATCCATTAACACAGTAGCCATGGTGATAAGAACAATGACACACATGTACATTTAACTGTCTTCCCCTTCCCAGGACTGATTGGTTAGCACCACTACTTAGTAATTCTAATGGCTGACTTGACCTGTGCTATAGTATTAAGCAGCCAAAAAGACAGGTCTGATTACAAGGGAATCCATCCAACTATCACGAAGAAGGTAGCAATTTGCTCTTAAATAATTATTGTGTTTGGACTGCTTTCCCTGAATTATCTGTCATACACTTCACTTCATCTGTGGCCTTACTGAATGCTTTGTATAATAAATATCCTTAAGCAGTGTCCCACACAACAGTGCTTATCAAAAGAACTTTTTCCCTGTGAATGTGAACGGGATAGCTGGAGGATCCACCAATCCCTATCAAGTATTCTATCTTCCAGACTCTGGCCTTGTAGGATGATGGACAGTTCCACAGGTTTGGTTTTGGACTGGGTGATGAAATACTTTTATGCTGTCCCTAAAAGATGTCATATGCTCCAAATAAGTTAACAGTCTGGAGATCACTTGTGTTGACAGGAGTCCAGAGAGTAGAAGAGGACGACACCCTTTTACTTCTACACACTGCCTATGTTTTGCTTCTCACTTGAGGAGACATTCTACCATAACCATCACTGCCTATTATTTCCTAGTGTACCAGTGTTGCAGATTGTTGTCCACTAAGAGAACAGGTGTGATTACCTCAAGGACAAGACACCCCCACCGTACACAGTGGGGCTGTTAGCTTTCCCTTTTGAGACTCTCCTAAGATTCTAGTCACTCCCTCCGATGCCTCTCCCAGATGCCTGTAATTCTGCCCCAGCTACACAAGGTCTTGGAAAATGTTAAGAGAATACAGAAATAGAATGCTAACTAGACGGGGAGTCCCTTAATGTAGCTATGGGAACATTGTCATCCATGCCAGTGTGGGGCTTTTCAGAGAGGTAGCTGTTTGGGGTTGGTTACCTATGCTCCACTGGGCGCCAATGTTATGATACTGTATGCTAGGCAGCAGGTAGAGCCAAAGTGCCCCATGGCAGGTGAGAGACAGAGATGCCATGCAGACAGCGCTCAGTGAAAAGTTTTATTTGGTTGGGGAGGGGAGGGGGGAGAGGAAGAGGGAAGAGAGAGAGAGAGAGAGAGAGAGAGAGAGAGAGAGAGAGAGAGAGAAAGGGTGAGAGTGCACACCTCATGGAAGGAAAGCAGGAGAGAGAAGGGGTGGAGTTTTTCCTTTTACACGCAGGGTGGAGCCAAGGGGCAGGATTTCAAGGGGCGGATCAGAATATTAACACCTGGTTCATCAATCTTGACAGGAGTGGAATCATTCCTTTGGTCTCTCATTGATGTGTGTAATGCCGGGCCAGAATTTGCATTTTTAATAGCTTCTCATCAAGGAAGATGGCAAAACACCGTACTATATTTCCTTTCCCACTGGTTCATACATGTTTACAGATGCTGTTTTTCTTTTTTCCTACCATAGTCATTTGTGGCGTTTGAATGAGAATGCCTCCATAGGCTCCTCTATGTGAACGTCTAGTGCCAAGTTGGTGGACTGTTTTGGGAAGGGTTAGGAGGTGTTGGAGGCCTTGTTGGAGGAGGTTGTCACTGGGGAGTGGACTTTGCGGTTTCATAAGCCCATGCCAGGTTCAGTGCCATTCTCTGCTTGTGGATCAGGATGTAAAGAGAAACACAAAATGCACAGTTTGAGGAGCAAAAGAGCACCAGGGAATGTCATGTTGCAGCCAAGCCCTGTGCTCAAGGAAATAAAAAGTTTAAAGGCCTGATTCAAAATGGAATGATGAGAATGCCTTATTGTCTCGGGGCAAGACTCCATCCAGCTAAGCTTCCAACTTGTGAAAAGTAACTAAATCAAAGTTTAAGGAACAAAGAAAATCATCAACAATGGAAAGTTTATGCAAATATAATTCAAGGAGGGGTCAGGTTCGTGCCCCCAGAAAACAGAATTTGGCAGCTTGGGTCATGTGTTTCTGGCGTTGGATACAGAAGAGAGATTATGGAATCTTCCTCCACAGCTGAGAAAAGCCACCGAGGCCACGCTTGTGGCAGGGGAGTCCCTGCAAGGAGGCCTTAGAGACCAGCCTTTCATGAAGCTGTGAAGGTGAAGCCTAGAGTGCCTTGGAGACCCCAGGATGTTGGAGATGCCTGAGCTGTGGGATGCCTGTCAAGGACAACTGTAGAATCAGCCCCAAGTGAGAGAATATATCGCAGTCAGCAAAGATGGGAGACAGAGTTGTCTAAGTCCTTTGCCATAGGACAGAGAGAGACAGGATTTGGAGTTTGCTCTGCCGATTCTTCATTATGTTCCCTTGCCTCCCTCAAAGAACAGTAATGTATGTTCTGGGCCATTGTATGTTGGACTATGTGATTTGCTTATTGCTTTTACATGGGGTTACAGTTGAAACTTCCTTGAGGCTCAAGAGACATGGACTTTGCATAGTATTGAGACTCAAAGACTATGGGGGATTTTGAAGCTGGACTGAATCGAGCTTGCATTTTGATATGGCCATAAGCCTTTGGAATCCAGGGCCTGGGATGTGGTTTGAATCATGGCTTCTGTAGACTCACATATGTGAATGCCTAGTCCCCAACTGGTAGACTGTTTTGGGGGAGGATTAGGTGTGGTCTTGTTGGAAGAGGTGTGTTACTGGGGTGAGCTTTGAGGCTTTGAAAGCCCATGCCAGATTCAGTGCAACCCTGAGGCCCATGGATCACGATGTAAAGCTCTTAGCTGCTCCTTCACGACGCCTGTATGCTTCCTGTCATGATGATCATGGACTCACTCTCTAAAACTGTTAAGCAATTCCCCAAGTAAATGCTTTCTTTTCTAAGAGTTACTTTGGTTATAGTGTCTCTTCAAAGCAAAAAACAAAAAACAAACAACAAAAACAAACAAACCCCGCCCCCCCCCAAAAAAAACAACAAAACAGTAACTATTATTATATATAAAGTGGTTAGGGTTCTAACTTTGGTTTGTTGTTTTAGACTGGTCACTAAAAAAACAAAGGATACCCATAGTGGATGAGAACAGTGGATGTGAAAGACAAAAGAGGGGCCATAAATCTGATATTTTTAGTGATCTTAGGAGTTGAAACCAGGGCTTCACACATGCTTTTGAGACAGGATTTCAAGTATTTCAGGAAGGCCTGTTTACCCTATCTCAGCCTCCTTGGCAACTAGGATTATAGGCATGCACATTTGGCTGATGCTTTATAATTGGCGCTATTACCAAACTCATTTTATATGCTTGGTGAATCTTAGTATTAATGGCTCCCTTTTCAACTTCAATTATAATTCAATATATTTAAATGTTACTTCAATGTGATCAACATGAAATTATTAAATACAGTTGTTACTAAGCCTTGTGGTTAGTGGTGTACAGTGTGATCACTAGCACCAAAACCTGTGTACATGTCTACATGCGTTTCTTTAGAATAGTTGTTCTCAACCTGTAGGTTGCAACCCTGTTACTTATCAGATATTTACATTATAATTCATGGCAGTAGCAACATTACAGTTACGAAATAGTAACAAAATAATTTTATGGTCAGGGGTCATCACAACATGAGGAACTGTATTAAAGTTAGGAAGGTTGAGAATCACTACTCTAGAACTAAAATATAATCTAACAGGATTTAGCACTAATATAAGGAAAAGGGAAACTGGTATTTAACATGCAGAGTTCTTATGAAGATAATTTCAAGTAAGCGTTGGCATTCAATATGCACTGGATTATTTATTGGCTAGCTGTTAAGCATACCAAACCTTCCTAAAACACATCATTTGTGATGAAATTTTTCAGTTTAAGACTGAGCCCGGATTGGGCTGAACCCTGATGGAGCACTCTT